ACAAGTTATTTTATTATTTATTCTTTCAGTTTTGTATGGTGGAGTTTTGTTAGGTTTATTATTTTTTCGCGACGTTCTTTGCTTACTTGTTTATGGTTTGAGAGATTTCAGTTCATTTACGTTTTTACGGTAGCTCTGAGCGGGACTCGAACCCACTGTCTTTTCAAGCTAATTTTGTTTTATTTTGATGGCACGCTTGTGTACCACGCCACGACGTTTGTCGTTGAGTGGTATTCATTTTTCTAACTACTCCAGAGTTGAACGGAAAAGCCAAAACGATTGCTGGTTTCTGATTGCTTCGGTTCTGGTGAGTGTGTATCTAGTGTGATTCGAACCCATGTCGTTTGTATTGGGCGTTTTTTTATTTGCCATGTTGGCTACGCCGTAATATGCAACCACCTCCCAGTTTTATTGTGATTTTGAGTGTTTAATGATGTCTTCCTCACCCGTCACGCCATGACCCAGTTTCAACAAGACGGCCATTTTGGAACAGAATGCGTGGCCCTCGGCGTGACCCGACTGACTATATGAGCCTTCTGTTCAACTGTTAAGCTAGGATTTATTACCGTTATTATCATTATATTGTCACATGATTTGTTTTACCTTATGTGTAATGTCTTAAGTATCTTTATTGTAATTTGTATATACCAATTCGTATATACCGAGGAAACGACCCCGATTGAAGGTCATGTATTTTGTGACGTCACCAATTCGTGTGTAGGTACGGCTTCTAGATCCGTGCCTTATTCTTTTCTGGTTTAAATACCGTTGGCAACCAGACTTTATTATAGTAAACTTGTTTGAATTTGGTTTTGAATTCTATAGTGTTAGATTCATCGCCAATTTTAGTTAATGTGAATAATCTTTTAACAAATGCTGTCCATGAATTACCGTTCATTTTATTGTCAGTATTAAAAGCACAGTCCAGAAGATGATTATGTTTAATTGATTTTAGCCTTTCATAATACTTCAATGTTTGTGAACTAATGTCAATAATGAGAGGATAGCTACCAAGTTCAGCTCTAGTTGCTGCATTGCTGGCCTTATTATTAACACCTAAAATCTGTTTGCAAAGTTTAATGTGGAATTGTTCAGAGTATTTTTTGTCATTAAACAGACTTTGTATAAAATTGTCTTCAGTTATTTCGTTATTTTTTGTTTTAACAAGTTTCATTTTTTTATTATCCAAGAAACGTTCTGAGCGCCTGTGTTCCTGCAGTCCCAGCCAGCAGTGGAGAAAAAAAATAGTGGCTACTGTTTCATATTAAACGATATAAAAGTCGATATTAAGAATATTTAAATTTTCATGAACGAATAATAAAAAATGTAAACATACCAAGACTGAATATTGGCAACTTTATTCATATATTCAGCAGTCACTGTCAACATTCGCCCATTAGAAAATCAGATGAACACATTTCAATAGGGCGGGCTTGATACTGCGCATGCCTGACCCTGGCAAATTTCATACAGAGCTGGTATATTATTAATCATCCGCCAAAGAATTTACCTCAAATTTTTCTGAAAATGTCGTCTTCTGCTTTGACATTTTTATATTAAAAAATTCCATGCGAGAGTTATTACGTTGATAAATACGGCGTGTCGCTCATATTTTCCAACTTGTGGGTGTTACATTTTTGTCAGTGGCGGAGGGTTAAATATGTACTTCAAGGTGTTGCAAGATACCCGGAAGTACTTCTGTGTCGATGTAATCGTGCATCGGTTTGATGTTCTCCGAAATTTTAACTACTAGTATTGAATGTACTCGGGACATTTAAACATGCTCGACTTTGCCATATTTGCTGTGACTTTCGCCGTTGTGCTCATTGTTGCTGTCGTTTATCTGTATCCTGTATGTCTAGCCTTAAATTTGTAAACACATTGTCTGCAAAATATGTTAAATTAACATGATTTTAATAATTATGACTTTTTTAAGTTAACATAAGTAGTTTTTTTTTTTCTTGAGATCTAATAACCTGGTATCATTTATATTTTTTTTTCAGGGGTCAACTCGGTCAACCACAATTCCAGGGCTCACTCCAGCTGATGCGAAGTAAGTAAGCTAGAATATTGATGGAATAATATGTCAATCCTTCAGGATAACATCATGCCATTATCTGAATATTGCAAATTTCTTATATGATATCATCTGTATTCTTTTCATTGATACCTTATAAGGATATATTTAATTTTTTATTTATCATTATACATATATTATATTATACCAACAATTATATGAATAAGATATTGTGATTGGTCGACAGCAGGTTTTTAATTATGCAAGTCATGGTACATACAGAATATACCACAATTTTTGTGCTTAGTAGTATGCCTCAAACATGAATAATACACAGTAGGGTTAAATCCTTCTGTCAACTAAATCAACAAAATATTATTTTCCTCTATGGATATTATGAAGCATTGCGACTCTCACAAAAAATAATTTTTGAGAATTACACAAACAATATCAGAAAAATGATTGCAGTGGCTCGCTTTTGTGAACCCAGAAATGTTATTGATCCTCAACATGCTATCAGGCGCACAATGCTAATTGGTTTCTGTATTTTTCTCAACATTGCCCTTACCAATAATTAAAGTACATGAATAAACATCAAACATCACAGCTCATAATTAATCAAATTAGCAGTATCACTGCTGGGCTAAAAATTTTAAAAGCTGGTATTATTTGGTAGTCCTTCAGGTTTAGTAGATAATCTGAGCCATGCAGGAAGTGTGAATACAAATAAATAAATTTGTGCAGGACACCTATAGTTATGAAGACAAGCTGGTTTGTGTAAAAAACAAAGTACATGTATAGTCCACTTGGCTACTAAATGGAAATTTACGGTAGGATTGTCACCAAAATAATGGAAAAGCCACTGTCTATTCAAATTTACACGTGTTTTTAATGCTTAAGAGCTGGACCATTACAAATTCAAGATGGGAGAGAAACAGAAAAACTGTACAATTTAATTTTTCCAATTTTGCAAAAATGTGGATTGACCACCTGATAATATTGAGGCCTTGGTTGTCATCATGAAACATTTTAATTGTGTAACCAAAAATGAGGGATATACAACATCTGATTCATGTGTTGATCGTCATTCATCACAGACATGCCATCCGTAAAACACTTTATATTCATGAAGTACAATACAGAGCCGTCTTCTGATGCTCATAGTATTGTTTTTTTCTTATTGTTTTTATAGGGAAGGTAATTTACCAGACATTAGTGCAGCTGGAAGTTTCCATCAGTTTCTTACAACTCTGCACCAAGAATTTGGAAATATAGCATCGTTTTACTATGGTACACAGTTATGTGTGAGCTTGGCATCACCAGCTTTATGGAAACAGCATCTTAAAGTATTTGACAAGCCACGTAAGTATGCAGCACTAGTCTAAATGCAAGATTTTAACTAAGATAGTATTGTATGCTATATGATTTTTTTATAACACATATAAAGGGGGATTATATTCAAACAAACTTGTGGTTTGTAGACATTGAGCAAATCACAATCATAAATTTTTATTTGAAAGATAAACGGCAGCAATCACATAATTCAGAAAGTTATATTTGTAAAACATGCATGTTTATACTTAAATTAAAAAATGGGAGCTTGATTCACCTTGCACAATTTGTTCGCTGTTTTCCCTCATTTCTGGCGATCTGATAAGCTATCATACGTTTATACATATTCGGCTGATCAACCCTCCTCTATGCAGACAAAATTGGAATGTTTTTATTCAACCCTCCTCTATGCAGACAAAATTGGAATGTTTTTATGCCAGATCACGAAAGTTTCTAAGGTAATGGTGGAACTCGAAACATGTCTATTCTGGATAAATAAAATACTTCATCTGCTTTGTTATTACAGCTGATCTCTTCTTATTTTACCAACCAATGGTTGGCGAGGGTAGTCTTCTATATGCAAATAAGGCAGATGGAAGAAGTCGTAGAAATCTACATAGCAAGTGTTTTAATGATGATACTATGAAGAAGTATTGCCAAGCATTCAATACAGTAAATTATTTTATTTATTTTTTGTATTCACAGATTGAAATTTGCATTTATTGTGTACTTATGAAAATATGATTTACTGTAAATGCATTAATTGAAAATTTTGAATAACCCTACATGTATTTGCACTATTGGAAATGTATTCACATACATGTATGAATGGCTGGTTTTCATGTAACAGATAAATTTTAGTTGCATTGGTTTGGTGGACTTGCATCAACATATATTTAGTCCCCGTTCGGACGCAGTTCAAAAACGGGGACTTATGTTTTGACCTCAGTGTGTTCGTGCATGTGTGCGTGTGTCTGTGCATGTGACCAATCACAATCAAACTTCACACATACATCATACATGATATTATACATATGCACATCAATTTGTTTCACGATCTGATTCAAGATCATCAAAATCAAGCATTTCTCGGCTGTTTACAGATGGATATTGTTCAAACTTGGTATATACATTAGACATTATACGCCCTTGATGCACGTCATTTTGTTTTATGATCTGATTCAAGATGGCCGAATGTCGGCCATTTTTGTGCTAAAAAATCCTAAAAATCAACCATTTCTCGGCTGTTTACAGATGAATTTTGTTCAAACTTGGTATATACATTAGACATTATAGGACCTTGATGCAAATAATTTTGTTTTTCAGATAAGATTCAAAATGGCCGACAGGCGGCCATTTTGTAATAATGAATGTGGTTCTCGTGCCATATCTCTGACTTGCTTTTACTGATTATGTTCAAATTTTAAATATTCATTATACATCATGTCATAGATAGACAGATTTATTGGTTTGACGATCCTATTCAAAATGGCCAAATGGTGGCCTTTTTTGTGCTAAACAATCATCAAATATCAAGCATTTCTGGCATTTATGGATGGATTTCGTTCAAACTTGGTACATACATGTATAGTAGACATTACAGGTTCCTGATGCACATCATTTATTTTCCAGATCGGATTCAAAATGGCTGTCTGGCGGCTATTTTGTTTTAATGAATGGGCTTCTAGACCCATATCTCTGACTTGTTTTGACTGATAATATTTTTAAATTTTAAATATTCATTATACATCATGTCATAGATAAACAGATATATCCTATTCAAAATGGCCGACTGGTGGTCATTTTTGTGCTAAAAAATCATCAAATATCAAGCATTTATGGGTGGATTTCGTTCAAACTTGGTACATACATTAGACATTACAGATTCCTGATGCTCGTCATTTTATTTTTCAGATTGGATTCAAAATGGCTGACTGGCGACCATTTTGTTTTAATGATTGGGCTTCTAGAGCCATATCTCTTAAATGCTTTGACTTATTATATTTAAATTTTATATATTCATTATACATCACGTTACAATGTATATATATATATACATGTTTTCAAAATGGCTGATTTTGAATGCTGTTCCAGAGCAATATCTCTCAATATGGACAAGTACTTGTTTGACGATCAGATACATGTACAAATGTCAATCATTTTAATGTTAAAAAATCATATTCCTGACATGGTTATATTCCAGCTATATTACTATAAACAAAACTATATATCTTAAATTTGATAACTAACTGGGACTGTGCCATGCATGGCTTGTTTATATAGTTCTCGTTCTGACAATGTTCGAAAGGAAGGACTATTAATTTGAGTTGACCAGGTTTTCAAACTTAGTATAAAGACAATACCTGATGTCATGTCTATTTTATCTATCTACCGGCTTGTCTATCTATCTATCACACCTATTTTATGCATCTCTAATACCATATTAGCTCTAGTAGAAGAAGCTTAGCTCAAATAAAAACAAAAATTATTGTAAACTGAATCTTTAAATTTTGACCATTGACACACCTGTCATTTACATATTTATTATAAGCATATGTGCTATTGATAGAGCAAATATGGTATATCCTAATCATTTATGTTGCTTGTTTGTTACTAGGCATCTGAAGAGATAAAAGACAAGTTCTCCTCCATGTCCAAAGAGGAACACATCCCAATATGTCAGTACATGACTGCACTGGCTCTCAAGACAATCATCAAAACTTTATTTGGCAAGTATTTTGAGGATGACAGGAAAGTGCTTGAACTTAAGAAGAATTTTGATATTGTAAGTACCAGGGTTCCAAATTTACAGTTACTTCAATCACACTCACTGTATTGCTTTGATGTCCTTCAAAAATTCACAGTGGCAGTGGAGAGATTGCTTAATGCTCAACCTGAATCAGACCATGAAGTTATATAACATACATGTAGTTTCAGATAGCATGTCTGTCAGCTTTAGGGTGGTTATGATTTTGATTGCGATCATCTGCTACCAATACAACAGCGGGATTAGAAAAATGGTGTCAGGTCAGCGGTTTATTTTGTATGCTGTTCCTGTAGTCAAAAGATTCTAGTATCTTAAGTGCAATGAGTAGCTTGTTACAACAAGATGATTGGAACTTGTCCTCAAGAGAGGGATATTTGAAAGATAACTCCATGGATTAACAGGCTTCACTATAATATATAGTAAACAATATGATGATGTCATTTTTAGTGCTGGCATGAAATAGAGTTGAGACTGAATGAAGAACCAACTGAAGGAAGTGCAAGACAAAAGAGATTTGAGAAAGGTGTGTAGCATACTGGCATGCTACTTTCATTCATGCATCAGTTATGCAACATGCACTTAAATTTAATATCAAACTGTGTATTTTTCATGCATTGTATATATCACATGGAACCCATAACAACCATAACCTGAACCATGGAATGTGACGCTTCAAAAAATACTGTCTCTAGTTTCTATGTTTAAAAGACGAAAAATGTAACACTGAAATGTTTTTGTTGTTCTTTGACTAATACATGTATTAATTCATTAACTGGTTTTCTGTGTTGATAATCTGACTTTTGACCTGGAAATACAATGATATAATGATAGTAAAATGGACCATATAATTTTTACTTTTCAAACTTTGCTCTATTATCTAATTGGAACTGAATGTTAAGTTTTTCATAAAGATCTAAAAACATTAACATAATGAATGCCATACCCACACTTGAGTCTATGTCTTACAGCTCTGGAAAACATTCAGACTTTATTTTGTGATGTTAGAAGGCAATGCATAGATAAGCCATCAAGTGAAAAGGACCGACTGTTTATTGATACTTTGGTGGCTTCAGATTGTTCTGAAGATGAGATTGTGAGTGACTGTATCACATACCTTGTTGGTGGTTTTCATACCACAGCATACTGTAAGTAATCAAAACACTTTGCATGCTACACATTTAAATCAACAGTTGTGTTTTGTAATGAATGTTAAAATTCAGTGTAAGCGATGTATTTAACATGCTTTTCATACTACATGTATAAAGTGCTCTAATTTCCCAGAGAGATAAATTTTTAATGAAAATTGTGGTCTTCATGAATGCCGTCACGAAAATTGCAAGCAGCAACAATTGAGTTATTTACAGCATGTTGCAATGGATCTAAACTCTGCAAACACAAAGGATTAAAAATGTCGGCATGTGCCGAGATTCCATAACATGAATGTAGCAAATAACTTAGCTTTCAGATGAAAATGTCTGAATCTTAGAATTATCAATCGTTAACTCATTTTCTTTGTTGCTACCTTAAATAAGATATTGTTATTATCAGGTTCACTATAACTGACCTCAAATGAAATATCAGATCACTATTCAATATGTGAATATGCCCTGAATGAATCCATTGAATATATTAGAGATTAAACATATGTTGAGTGCAAGACATACAATGTAGATGTTATTTAAATAAAGTTTTAATTCTGTCATATCTGTTTTCTTGTAGTGTTGTCATGGGGATTGTATTTCTTGGCAACTGACAAAGATGCTCAGGAGAAGGTCAGTGAAGAAGTGGATGAGTTGTTACAACAAGATGGAAAGATTGACAATGGAAATGTAAATAAACTAATGTAAGTTTAATTTATAATTACCTTTGCATGGTGGAATTCATTTAATAATAATAATGATTCCAAAATCAGGAGAATTAATTTGGGTTCTGTCCATGTGTTCGTCTGTCCGTGTGTACATCTGAAGTCATTTCTCAGAAATGTTTTGGATATTCACTTTCAAACATATCACATGTTCCATGTATGATAACTTGCGTATACACATCGATTTTTATTACCATTTGATCAAATATGGCTGACAAGTTACCATTTTGTGTAAAATCCCAGAATAGTAGTTTGTAACTGTGTCCGAGACCATTCTTGAAGATGAGCAGGCCGATTTGATCCAAACTTTGTATTATGTTCCTGTATATTGGGTTACAAGGTTCACAGCACAGACTTGTCATTTTGTTTCATTTATGTTCATGTCAATTCCTCACTAATGTATTGCTTGATGCAGTTGATGACAGTTTGCACACAGGTAGTGTAGGTGTTGGTTTGATCAAATTTGTTGAATTGATGGTTGTTAATGTGTCAAGAATCATTTCTCGCAAATGAACAGGGCTTTGTATCTGGATCATACATACAGGGGTTACATGTGCATGTCATTTTTTTTTTTTTTATATTTTATATCTGCCATTTGGTTTGGTATTTAGCTCCCCTGTCGACTTTGTCGAGCGGAGCTTATCATATGAGTGATTGTCTGTCGTCGTCCATGTCAATGTTTTACTTTTTTCAACTTCTTCTTGAAAACTACTAGCCTGAATGCTTTGATACTTGGTGTATATGTACCTTGGGTAGACCTCTCTTAGGTTTGTCCATTTCATGTTGATATCTTCAATTCTCTAATTTTGGTGAATATTTTTGGTAAAAAAGTGATATTTTCGACTTCTTGTTAAAAACCGCAAGTCCCATTGTTTTGACATTACATATATAGGTTCTATATGTGGACCTCTCTCAGATTTGTTTATTTTGTAATGATATCTTTAATTCTCTAATTTTGGTGAATATTTTTGTCATTTTTGGAAAAAAGTGTTATTTTCGACTTCTTGTTGTTAAAAACCGCAAGTCCAATTGCTTTGATATTACATATATAGGTACTACATGTGGACCTCTTTCAAATTTGTTAATTTTGTGGTGATATTTTCAATTATCTAATTTTGATGAGTATTTTGTCATTGTTAGTAAAAAGTGATATTTTCGACTCCTTGTTGAAAACAGCAAGTCTCATTGCTTTGATACTATACATATTGTTCATTTTCTAATGATATCTTCTGTTCTTTAATTGAAATGTGCGTTGCTAACAGCGGAGCTATCTCAGCCGACCGTCTGCTTGTTTATGGTTTCCATGGCAGTTTCTCTGTGAGAGTGATTATAATCATGACATTTTGACTGTGCTCTTCCAGTCATACTGCATTTAAATTAACATACAAATGCTGCCTTTGGTGCACATATATATCTACATGTGATTTGCAATGGACAAGATCAACAATCTGGGAAATCAATGCTTGTTTAAACAGGTATTTTTTAATTTAGTATGCCAGGCACGACAATGTTTTGTTTAGATGCACCAAAAAACATTTCATTATTGTTATAGTAGCAAAATGTTACAGAAAATATACCATGCTTTGCTAAAATGTATCTATGATTATAACTGAGAAATCGTGGCTGTATTTGTGTTTCTGTCAACCTGTAGTTATCTGAATCAAGTAGTGAAGGAAACACTTAGGTGTTCAATTCTGTCACCATGGACGGCAAGATACCAAGATATTGATGTGGAAATTGGCGGTCATATTATATCAAAAAATGTAAGTATTTTGCATGGACCTACCAGTAATAGATTTCATCACATTCAGATTCAATCCTTTATGCATTCCTTAATTTTGGATTTTCCAGGAATTTAATTATAACTCTTCACT